CGCGCGGCTGCAGGCCGGTCCGTGGCGGGAGCGGAGGGGTTACCACGGGCGGAAGGTTTCTGTTACATTCACCCGCTTGCCGGGTCCCCAGCCCCAGCCCGGAGCGGCCCGTGTGTCTCTGCTGCCCCCTCGCGGCTGCCGGGGGAAGGGCGGTTCCTCAGCCTGAGTTCTTGCACGATCAGAAACCTGTTTCGTGTCGCTGTGTCTCCCGCACAGTAATAGCGGGCGGTGTCCTCGGGCCTCAGGCCGGTCATTGGCAGGTACAACGTGCTCTGGGAATTGTCCCTGGAGATGGTGAATCGGCCTTTCACGGAATCCGCGTATGCGATCCATAAACTGGGGTTTATATAAGCGACCCATTCAAGCCCCTTCCCAGGAGCCTGCCGGACCCAGTCCATATAGAGGCTGCTGAAGGTGAAGCCGGAGACTTTGCAGGAGAGGCGCAGAGAGTCTCCGGGCTTCTTCACATCCCCTCCGGACTCCACCAGCACTTGGCACCGGACACCTGCAAATACAGACCGGTTCTTAATACCGGTATAAAATCAGCCCTAACTCACTATTCCTGCAACTGGGCCAATGATTCAGAGCAAGACAATACCTTTCAGAGCTGCTGCAACGAAACACAGAAGGAGCCAAATTCTCATTGTCCCGGGTGTGGGAGGGGGAAATTCTCAGGGGCCTGCGAGATAAATGCGGATTGTCCCTGCTGCGAGTGCAGCCTGGGCAGAGACAGGGACATATTTAAACAGGACGCCGACTCCCTCATTTGCATACCCCCACCTTATAAGAGATAAGCGCTTCGCCTGCCCGGGTTCTGACTGACTCGCCCCAGGACCGGGGCGCAGGCGTCAGAGCCCCGGCCTGGGTGTCTGCCCCGGCTGGGCGGTAAATTCGAGGCTGTAGGTTCCATGGGGAGCCCGGCGTTCTAAGAAGAAGCCTCAGCCCCTGGTGTGACTCGAGCCCTAGCGCGCTTCAGGGCACCGACACCGCCAAGGCTGCCCCCGGAACCCAACACAGTAACACGGGGCTGTCGCTCAGGCTGAGCTGTTTGTGGATCTGCTGCCCCCTTGTGGCGAACGGGGAAAGGAGGATTCCGCAGCCCCAGTTTTTCTTTGACCACCAGCAGGTTCGATATCACTGTACAGTGTCTCGCACAGTAATAGCGGGCGGAGCCCTCTGGCTTCTGGCCGGTCAGTTGTAAGTAAAACAGGTTGTTGGGAGAGCAGGCATTGTCCTTTTAAGGGTGACCATTTTGAATTCTGCTCTCCTTGGCACACTTTCAACTACCTTGCACACCGGTGTGCTGCGGAACACAGTTTAAGACACACAGGTTAGGAAACGCTGCTCTTGTGCATTTCAGAGAGGAAGTGCATCAGGAAGCCTGGGGCCAGTGGGATTCCCTGCTGGCCCCAGGCTCCACACAGCCCTTTGAAATGTACAAGGGCCCCAGCAGGGGCTCTTTGATGTGATTTGTACATATCCAATGCGGAACATGAAAGTCCTTATCAACTAGCTGAATAATCAATGGAAATCCCATTGACTATTCCATAGTTAATCTAAATGTAACATCCCAAACTCTCTATCTCTCTGTAGCTCTGAGGCCCTGCACTTTCCAGGGGGCCAAAAACCATCCTGTGACCACATATCAAAACTCCTGAAGTGACCCCCCCCACCATGAAAATTATTGTCCACTCTGGGGTTAGGTTACTGGGTTTATTCTGTCCTTACAATCTGCAAAGTACATGTGGCACTGAGCAGCCTGTGATAATTCCATGTGCAGCCTGCTTGATTCCGAGAACTAACATTGAGTGAGTAGGGGTAATGCAGGGGGGAGAGGCTCAAATATGCAGAGGGGCTGGCCAGGGGCAGGACAGGATGTGGCAATGACATCACAAGGCCTTTTTTGGCATCTCTGCTTATTGGTTAAGGGCCGTTGACAGGTGGTGAACTCACAGAGAGACCATGACAATGGCCAGGTAGGACAGGATGCAGGGCTGGGGCAATTTCAGACTCCCATAGCTTTGCAGCCGGGAGTCATCTCGAGGCCTTGAACTTGAAAATGAAGAGGAATCTTCTTGGCGTTTTCTACAAATCCAATTCTGATAAAAGAGACACATCTCTGAGGAGAAGGTAAGAGCCTGTGAACGATTTGGTGCTGATGTTGCCTGACCTATTGTGTGGTGGCAAAATGCAAGTTGTGGGAAACACTAACATTGGAACTATTATTTTCCCACCGAGGCTTTTTGTTCCTTACCACTGGGGACAGTGGAATTTGTGTCTTTTGTTTCCCTTTCCCCATAGCTTCCTGCCCTGCCAGAGTCTCACTGTTGAGTGGATGAGATACTGATAGGGAGAAGACTCAGGGCTCCTGGCAGGTTAATGTACATAAAGTGCCTATATGGAATGTGCTCAATATACTTTACTTGCCTTCTATGAAAGTATTTTTAGGGACAAGCTGTGGTTGAAATATTTTTTTCCAGCTTCAGCTATTAAGACATAACAAGACTATGAGGATCCTGAAGCTAGAGTAGACAGCCTAGGGCCTAGTTTTTAGGTGGCCGAAAGTTCTTTGTTTCACTCTCTCCAACAGCAGTAGCTCTGTCTCCTCCAGATTTAGCATAAACAAGCATGTCTTCATGTGCATGTTGAGTCAGATCTCTGTGAGATGGATTTGCATTTTCTGTTAAGAAAACATCATGGTGGCTATATTTTAAACTGCCATGTGATTACCCTTTGCAAACAGGCTTGCATAATATTTCTGTGGAGGATTGGCCTGTATTCAACCACTGGCTGTTGTGGATTGTCATATTATAACAAAAATGCAGCTACTTTTGTGGCCTACTTGAATAACTTTATTTCTAACTACTTTTCTTTCTGCCCTGTGGGAGATTTTATCCATGCTCACTGTGAATGTTAACATGAGTTTTTCCTGCAGACTAATGTAGTCCTTCATCCTAACTAGTTTTAAATCTCACCCTGACTGCTCTCTTCTCCTAGCTGTTCAGCCACTTTTCCTCACTACCCTTAGCACTGGCAACATCATGTATAACATAACAGTAATCACAGTCACTCATGGTTGGAAATTGTTTTATGTAGATTTCTAAACTTGTACCATGGTCAAGAAGTGTAAGAAAAAGGAGTTACTGGTTTCTCTTCTTAGCCATCCATTCAGTTGGCTGGATTTGAATATTGGAATTATTCTGGGAAAGCTAGCTTAATGAATAATATTTTGCTGCGAAAGTAGTGATGTGAGTTATTCCTTCTTTAGGTAAAGAATCTACTTCTCCAAAATCTCATTTTGATTGTTGCATTCAGCCTTTTTGATATTACAGCTACACAGCTCATGGCAGCTCCCTCTATGGGTATGTCTACACTACAGAGTTAGTTCGAACTAACATAGTAGTGTAGACATACCCTCCCATGTTTAATCAGTAGAGGCTAAGATTTAGGAACAAAAGAAAGCAGATCCTGAGAGAGTCCTTAAAAGAGGCTGTTGGCTATGGGTGGAAGGAGCTGTGAATGAGGTGCTGAAAAAAAACACAATTTCCAGTTGCATTGACCTTAAAGGAAATGTCTGCCTCTCTTCTTAGGCCTCTCTTAAATGTACCTTTAAATGTAGTAGGTTCCGAATGTCTTGAACTAGTTCACAAAGAACAGGACAATGCAGCACTTTAAAGACTAACAAGATGGTTTATTAGGTGATGAGTTTTCGTTGGCCAGACCCACTTCCTCAGATCAAACAGTGGAAGAAAATTGGCACAACCACATATACCAAAGGATACAATAAAAAAATGAACACATGTAAAGGACAAATCAAATTTCAGAACAGAAGGGGGATGGGGGGGAGGTAATTTTACACGTGTTCATTTTTTTGATTGTATCCTTTGGTATATGTGGTTGTGCCAATTTTCTTCCACTATTTGATCTGAGGATCTGCTGCTGTGCCACCATCTGGAGAACCAGTGGGAGTGGATGAATCCCTTCAGCAGCACCGGGCTTCTGCCAGGCTCCCAGAGCAGGGCCGGCCTGGACCTGACCTCCTTAATGAAGATCTCGCTGCTGAACAAGCAGAACCGATATGACGACGAAGAGTACAAGGAGGATCCGGCGCCGGGGGTCATGGACCAGGACCTGGAGCGCAGGTGCATGGAGTGGCTGCACGGGGTGGAGGAAGTGAAGAGAGAGGGCAAGATGGAAACCCTGCCCCACCTGGATGACTCCTGAGCCTGAGGGGCAGAGAACCATCTTGCTACCACTCCTCGTGGCAATAGCTGAGGTTGCCCATGTGCTGTGCCTGGGAGCGGAGTTCATCCATCCTTTCCGGCAGCTGGACTTGTGACTGTCCCATCCCACTCCACACGTTCGTGTCTGCAGACTCAGCCATGAGAGATCAGAGTTTCAGTGCTGGGTTTAACCTGTGAGGAAATGGACTCCTTTGTTACTTAACTCAAAGACCCTTGTGTGATAGTTTCTGAGAAAGGCTCCATAGTTTTAACAAGTTTTTTCATCTTCTCCTCCTAACCAGACTCAGAAATGGTGAACAATTCCTGCAAGTGTCAGGAGTCAGTTTTTGCTACACTGAACACTGGCATGAATATGGCAGAATATGAAGCTCCTGTTGTGTTACAGTAAGTGAACTAGCTGAGAATATTTCTCTGCTCATGTCTGGTCACATTTAAATACCCCCAAAGCACAGGGGTTAACGTCCTGATCCTGTCCATCATCTATTAAACTCGTGGCTCCTGCTTTTGGATGAAAAACATCCAGCATCTCAGCTGGATTGGGAGAAGCCTGTGTGCAGCACTGATTAGCCTGCCCCAATTTTTTCTCTTCCCAAATGCCACAACATGTGAATGAAAATACACAAGCCATAGCAACGATGAATATGTATTGCTTTTCTCCCTCCTCCCCCCGTTTACATAGAACGGACCCCTGTGGGTCCCAGCGCATTTCGCATGGACAGCTGTCCCTCGCCTCTCTCTGGGCAGAGTGGGTGTGTCTAGACTACATGCCTCCGTCGACGGAGGCATGTAGTCTAGACACACCCACTCTGCCCAGAGAGAGGCGAGGGACAGCTGTCCATGCGAAATGCGCTGGGACCCACAGGGGTCCGTTCTATGTAAACGGGGGGAGGAGGGAGAAAAGCAATACATATTCATCGTTGCTATGGCTTGTGTATTTTCATTCACATGTTGTGGCATTTGGGAAGAGAAAAAATTGGGGCAGGCTAATCAGTGCTGCACACAGGCTTCTCCCAATCCAGCTGAGATGCTGGATGTTTTTCATCCAAAAGCAGGAGCCACGAGTTTAATAGATGATGGACAGGATCAGGACGTTAACCCCTGTGCTTTGGGGGTATTTAAATGTGACCAGACATGAGCAGAGAAATATTCTCAGCTAGTTCACTTACTGTAACACAACAGGAGCTTCATATTCTGCCATATTCATGCCAGTGTTCAGTGTAGCAAAAACTGACTCCTGACACTTGCAGGAATTGTTCACCATTTCTGAGTCTGGTTAGGAGGAGAAGATGAAAAAACTTGTTAAAACTATGGAGCCTTTCTCAGAAACTATCACACAAGGGTCTTTGAGTTAAGTAACAAAGGGCAGTCAAAGAAAAAGAAAACAAAATCCTCTGTCAATACAGAGACTCAAAACAGTGGTCAGTTACTGACGGAGGAGGGGGAAGCCACCCACCATGTGAACTGCCCACAGTGTAGCTGCACAGTCACTGCCCCAGCTACTCCCGGGTGTGGGGCTGTGTGACACCTGCCTCAGCTGGAGCCTGGGCTGCAGTACTAAAAATAGCACCGCGGGCTCAGCTCGAGTTTCATCACACAGGACCTGCTTCCCTGAAAGCCCCAAAGAGCAGAGATGGGCAGCCACCACTTCAGCCCTGCAGGAAGCGGGGAGGAGGCAGCCTCCTGCGGGTAGCTGGGTTTGGCCTTCAGCTACTGCCCGAGCCACTTTTCTTTCTTCCCTGGGAGGTGCAAGGGCCAGTCCCGCCCTGCGTCTCTGGGACACCTCTCCATGCTTGCTGGGGATACTCTCCTCCCCAAGGCCCTGCCTGACTCTTTGCTCCTGCCCTTCGCCCGGCCTTCTCCTCTCTTCTCTTGGTCCGTCCTTCCCACCCTCCTGGTCTCCACCCTGCCTCCTGCCCTCACCTTCCAGCCACTGCCCTGCAAACCCTGCCCAGAGTTGTCAGCTTGGTAGTGGCAGCCTCGGTCTTTCAGCCCACACCAGGGAGCTAGAGCTCAGCGCCCTGAGCCAGTTCCAAGAGGGGAATGGATCCCCAGGCCTTGTGAATCCACCATCTGCGGGAGACCTGCAGGAATATTTGTCTCCTCGTGTCCCTAGAACACAGAGAATCCAAGAGGGGAATGGATCCCCAGGCCTTGTGAATCCACCATCTGCGGGAGACCTGCAGGAATATTTGTCTCCTCGTGTCCCTAGAACACAGAGAATTCCCAAAATATTCACCCGCTGCTCTGGCACCGACCTGCCCTTTCACACCGATCCCTGCACTGACCGGACAGAACAGCCTGGAACTGCAAGTCGCTGCTGCCCCCTGCCGGGCGCTGGCAGAGCGGCTCTCGCTGCAGCTCGGTTTGTGTTCTGAGCTCAGTAGCTTTCTGCTCGCTGTGCCTGGCGCAGTAATAGCGGGCGGTGTCCTAGGAAATAGAGGAACCAGGGCAGGGGGGAAGAAGAGGGGTACATCAAATCGGCAGCGCCCTCCCCACCCTCCTGGCCCAACTCTGCGCCTCCAGCCACCGCATCTACCTGCTACCAGCTGATTGCTGCTCACACCTGGCTTTTGACAGCGACGGGCAGGGAGGGGACGGGCAGCAGGCAGTACCAACAGAGAGAGGGTTGTGCTCCCTCCTGCCCCCAAACCCTGGCTCCGTGTCCAAAGCCTGAGCTATCCCAAATCCTCCCCCAGCTCCGGTGTCTCCCTGGGGGCACATTTCAGGTCGCAGCATAAGGAAGCAGAGGGTTGGGAATTCCTTAGGGAAGGCGGAGAGGAGAGGGGAACTACAGGGGAGACCCGGGGGTTGCAACGCTCTGTCTTTCCTATCCACGGTCCCCGCAGACACCGAGCGCGGGAGCTGTTTGGCTGTTTAGAAATCCGCTTCCCCTTTTTGTGCCAGGCCCGGCGTTGCTCCGTGTCACAGTGTGTGTCTGGCGCAGTAATAGGTGGCGGTGTCCGCAGCTGTCAGCGAACCAAACTGCAGATAAACTTCCTCCTTCGAGGTGTCCCTGGTGATGGTGACACGAGGTTTGAAAGCCGAGTTATACTCCGCGGTCCCCCCGTTCGCTGTATCCCGGATAAACCCGAGCCACTCCAGCCCTTTCCTGGGGGACTGCCGGGCCCAGCTCCAATAGTAGCTGCTGACAGAGACACCGGAGACTTTGCAGGTGAGACTGAGGGTCGCTCCCGGCTTCACCACCCCCTGGCCGGTCTGGACCAGCTGCACCTGGGAGAGGACACCTGCGGAAAGGGAAACAAAGGGAGGAATGAATCATGGAACGAATCTGCGGGTCGGGACCCCATTTCCCTCCTTTCCCACAGACACTCACAGCGGGGGGCGGCGAGCAGACAAAGGAGAAGCAGCAGAGGCTCCATTCTCTGTATCCAGCAATGAGGGAGGCTGGTCTGTGTCTGGGCAGAGACTGCGGCCCCTGGAACCGGGGTTCGTATTTCCACAGGAACCGCCGGGGCAGGGATTTGCATGCGGGTTGCCTCGCCAGGTATAAAGGGCGGGACGCAGCTGTGCAGGGAGCGGAGTGCGGGGGGGCGGAGTCACACTCCCCTGCATGGCCCAGCGCGGGACCCAGAGTCAAGTCAGGTTCATTGGAATCCCCAGACCTGCCATTGGTAAGAACGTGCCTGGGGCTGCAAACACACGAGCGCCTCTAGGCACGGAGCATGCGCACAAACACACTGTGGATTGGCCGGCTCCAGGAGCCCCAGACGGGCCACTGGCCCGGTAGCTGCTGTGACGAATCCGCCGGGACCCCTTGAAACTGCCCAGGCGAGCCGCAGGCATTGGCGTGTGGGGCGTGGGTGGAGCCCCACTCCCTTTCGGGGAGGCCAACTCCCAGCTCCGCTCCTTCCACCTGCACCCTCCCTCGGGGGCCAGAGCTGACCCAGCTGCCCGCTGCACCTGCACGCAGGTCCCGAGGTTGCCGGACCAGGGCGGTTCAACCTGCGGGCTCTTGTGAAGGGTCTTTGCGATCCTTGCGGCCAGAGGGGTTTTATGTTCTAATGAGAGTGGAGGTTCTGGACACAACACAGAGCCTCCGGGGAAAGAGCCAATCACCGAACCGCCCGGAGTTCACGCATTGCTCTAGACGAGGAAGGTGCTTTGCTTCATTCGCTTTGGTGAGAGACCAATTTACCGAACAAACCACTTGCATGTGTCTGGAGTTAGGGGGCAAGAGGAGTTTTCTGTTGACAGCCTCCTTCCGTTTGCCTCTCTTGGTGGAGACGACCTGGCCTTTGTCTCTGACCCAGGGTTCGGTTCCCGCGATGAGGGACCTTTAAGGAGAGAGGTTTTAAACTGGGCGTGTTTTTAGAGATAATTTCTAATCACATCTGCAACAAACTGCAGCTTTTTAAAAACTGATTTTGACAACGTTTGGGAAAAGTCACTGTAAGACATGACATGACTGTGATGGCAACTGCTGAATTGTTTAGGATTGGGGAAAGTAGCTATTTATGGGACAATGTCAGACTGGAGGGAGATCTCTAGTGGGGTTCCCCGGGGATTTATTTTGAGTCTGGTGGTTTTTATTGTCTTTAGGAATAACCTGGATGTAACAATAAGAGCATAAACCATTATAAAATTAAAGACATTCAAGAAAAACAATAAGAGCATAAACCATTATAAAACTAAAGACATTCAAAAAACCATGTCGTCACAGGAAACGGTTTGTAACACACTGGGAAACCTGAGTTTCCACAAAACACGAGAAACGAAAGGCTGCTTTGGAGCTTTCAGTACGGAACTCTACATTAAGCTCTAATCACATCTGCAACAAACTGCAGCTTTTTAAAAACTGATTTTGACAACGTTTGGGAAAAGTCACTGTAAGACATGACATGACATTGATGGCAACTGCTGAATTGTTTAGGATTGGGGAAAGTAGCTATTTATGGGACAATGTCAGACTGGAGGGAGATCTCTAGTGGGGTTCCCCGGGGATTTATTTTGAGTCTGGTGGTTTTTATTGTCTTTAGGAATAACCTGGATGTAACAATAAGAGCATAAACCATTATAAAACTAAAGACATTCAAAAAACCATGTCGTCACAGGAAACGGTTTGTAACACACTGGGAAACCTGAGTTTCCACAAAACACGAGAAACGAAAGGCTGCTTTGGAGCTTTCAGTACGGAACTCTACATTAAGCTAGCAGAAACCATAAAACGAACTTAAAGTAAAGTCCGGTGACATAGCCAATAAGCAATATTATTACAAAAAATACTTTTTTCTTTTATTGAACAAAGCTGTCCAGCCTCCGCAGAGACCACCAAAAATTGCCGATACCGACTGTATTTCAAGTCGTTACAGCGGGGTATTGGGCAAAGTTTTCAATTAGCAATAATCGCACCTCGGATTAACCTCATCGGTTACGATATTGCCACTGCGCAAAGATAATTAAACAATCCCCGGCGCGGTGACCCCGGGCCGGCCACGGGCTCCCATCTTAGGGCGCGGCCCGGTACCGTGGCGGGAAGCCGGGTACGAAGTGCCCCAGCACCGCTGCCTCCTGAGCCCCGGCAGCCCAGCCAGACCCAGCGGGCTTGCGGGGTTCAGCGCTTCTGTGCCGCTCAGAACCCTCAGCTGGCCGCAGAGGCCTCTGGGAGCGCGAGGAAATGTCACAGTGACGTCACCAGGCGGGAGGGGTGGGGGCGAGAGAGGCTGTTTTGTCTCATTGCAGCTGAAATGCCTGGAAATCACAACACCACGTGGGGGCTGCTGGGTGATTCCCGCCAGATTTTCCCGGCAGTTCGACATGGACGGAAACCAGCCCCCACTGCGCGTGCGCAGAACAGTCGCCTCTGGGGCATCAATGCCTTGTGCTCAGCCTGGCACGGGACATGGGAGCTGAAAATCGCAGGGCGCTGGGCCATTCCGCAGCCGCCCGGAGACTGACAGCGCGTGCGGATCGGCCCTGCAGTGGGGGAGGGGAAACACCCCCTAGAGGGGGGCGCCATTTACACACACAGCAGCTGTCCCCAGGGATCGCTGCCCCAGCGCCGCGCAGGACCTTGCTCCGCCTGCCTGGGGCTTCCCATCGCGCAGGGGCTGGACGCTTCCGAGGGGAGGCGCCCGGGCGGTGATCCACTGTCGGAACCGTCCCTGGCCGCCCCTTCCGCAGGACACGCGCGGGGATGGCCGCGCACGGGGAGCGGGTCTCACGCCAAGGGCAGCACCGACCCCATTCACATCGCGCAGGGGCTGGACGCTTCCGCGGGGAGGCGCCCGGGCGGTGATCCACTGTCGGAACCGTCCCTGGCCGCCCCTTCCGCAGGACACGCGCGGGGATGGCCGCGCACGGGGAGCGGGTCTCACGCCAAAGGCAGCACCGACCCCATCGGACTCCGACCTCCAGTTCGCAGCGCTGCGCCGCCAGTTCCCATCGACCCGCCTCTGACCAACGCCCCTTTCCCATCCCC